TGGTGGCGCCGCGGGACTCTGGATGCCGTGCTGGCCAAGGCCCATGGCATGGTTAGCGATACCCGCCAAAGACTCACTTACATATATGTAGGCAGGACGTTGCATTGGAGAACGTGGATACCGCCCACCGGGAAGACTCCATCAACGGTTAGGGTAGGAGCTGAAGTGTCGGTGACGGATTCAATATCAATGACCGATGCTGACCATTTGGGATCTACAAATAAACTTGGGGGTCAGATCCAGGCACCACAACCAAACTCCTGTCATGATGCGTGAGCGTATCTGCAGGCGGACTCAACCGCCAGGGCGAGCGAGACGAGAAGCCGGCGTCAAGGCGGCGCAAAGGAGACGCACGAAGGTTTCGAGCGAGCGCATAGTTCGCAGGTCCCACCCGTCTCTTCAACGTAGTAGTGTGGAAGAGTGCTCGCGCGCAGCAGAATGGCGACGAGTTCGAGGCATCACATGCGGTTGATGCAGACAAGGGCCCGGGAAGTGGTGACAGAAGTGGGGGAGGCAGGTTTCCGGTCTAACCCTAAGAATAGCCAGGCGAAGAAGCAGAAACGGGTGGGAAGAGTCATCTGGGCGATGCTACTGGCCGGGCAGCCAACAAGGGCGGCAGTTGGCTAAGCGCCCTCGCCCTCCTCGACCCTGGAGGATGTTGCCGTGAGGTGCAGAAGCTGCAGTGTGACGGGCCACACGATTGGCTGCCAGCCCGGTCCGCCCTGAGCGCCCCGCACCACCACCACCATCACCACCTCGCAAGAAGAGCCCGTCCCCAAGCACCGGCCACCCAGAGCCCGCCCTCCAACCTCGCAGCCCGCCGTGTGGTGCGGGCACGGCGCTTAACGTTGCTGATCTGCCCAACCATCGAAGAGGAGGTGTAGCATCCCAGCGGATGTCCTCCTAGGGGAGAAAAACGGCACCCACTCGGGTCCTTCTGCGATGGGTTCCTGGCAGGTCGTATATAATGATTCGGTGGCTCTTGGGTTCTTGGCTTTTTGCTCGTTTCACTCCTCGCTTCTCCTCCCCTCCGGTGCTCTTACACGGGCATTCTACTCAACGACGTAACGACAGACCATGATACAGTGATAGCGGGTTGCTGATTTACGACTGGTTCCTTTTCTCTTTTCCTCCATATCTACTCTATACGTTTTAACCCCCTGATCCCATTGAGACCGTTTGCGAGACCTGGTGAATCAGTTGCCATATCTGGTCGTCCATCTTGGTCTCTAATACACGCTCGATATATTGGCTGTCATGTCCTCCACGTCTCCTACTCCCGGGGCCTTCTCCCTCTTCCCCAGCCCAAGCAGCTCCACCCCGCCAATATCTGTCGGGCAGGCTGCGCGCCCTCGACGATCAGAATCCCGTGAACGCAGAGCCCGGACGCCGCAGAGCGCCCGGACCCGTACCCCTCAACCCGGAGAGCTGTCGCTGGCGACCTCACCACCACGAAGCAACGGCCGCAAGACACCCCAGCTGCAAACACAGTCGCCGTCGTCTCAGCAGCAGCCACAGCAGTCGCCGCCGAGGCAGCGGCAACGACAGGCGTCGGTATCGAGGGAGCAGCAGATGCAGTCGCCCGCGAGGGAACACCAGCAACAGCCGAGGGAGCAACACACACAATCCCCTGCGAGGGAACAACGGGAACTGCCACCGCTGCCCAGGGAACAGACACCGGTAGCCGGGGAGCAACCTCAGGAGCAACATCCTCTTCAACAACACCCCTCAAGGTTGGTGCGTAACCCGGACCGAAGCTCTATCGCGAAGCCGCCTCTCGAGGAGGAGGTAGGATCGTCGGGCCAGGTACGGTCCATCTTCCCGACTTACAACCCCAACATACCCCTCAACCAACAAAATTATGCGCCCACGCAACTCGGCCCTGCAGGGATACCCAAGGCCATCATCAGCAGGCAGTCATTCTTCCCCAATGACGACGCGGAGGGCATCAGCCAAGAGGAGCCTCCGCTTCCTGTCACCACCCGCAGCCCCTTGCGAGGAGGCTCCGAGGACGATCCCAGGTGGGGGCATGCCGTGCCACTGCCCAGGGATCCTCCCGTAGAACCCCAGACCTGCACGACGAGCCAGCTCAAGTCTTTCTGGAGAGTTGCAAACGGGTGGAGGGCCACTCCTCTCGAGGGGCGGGTATATTGCATGAAACTGGAGCAGGAGAAGGACGCACCTGTATATACGCTCTCCTCGTCCACCCAGCCATTCTACAATATCCGCATCGACCCGACCTCGGCCTCGGCGTATGTGACGGTCAAGCGCCATGACCCGAACAAGCCGTACAAGGACCCAACAGGAGAGTCGAGCCCGATCTCGGGGAATAGCTTGTTGTCTGCCGTGAGCGGCGGAAGTGGCAGCCCGAGGGCCTCCAAAATCACAGATGGGAAGCACTGGGCCGAGGCTCTGACGACGACCCTTGAAGAGGAATCTCGCCGGCATCGCCCCAATGACGGGCTTGTCGCGCTCCTCATGCCCCGGGCAGCTGCTAAGATGGCGGTGGAGAAGGCCAACGACCCCCAGGCTGTCTACATGGCCGAGCGGGAATGCGCGCGTCTGGTCTGGGACGACGACAGCGCGAGCCACTTCCTCGTGCACCCCGCCCTGGCGACCCCATTCTGCGTGACCATTGACCGGTCGCCGGCGTGGTCGCGCGTCGAGTACACGCTCGAGCACCACGAGTCCCCCCAGCACCTGGCCAAGCTGACGCGAGACGGGACCGGCGCGGGCTGGCTCGAATTCGACACGGGGCTCGCCTCCAAGATCGAGTCGTGCTACATCGCCGACGTGGCCATCACGGCGCTCATCCTCGTCGCGTCCGCGGATGAGAAGAATCAGCCCGTCGCCGAGACCTTCGAGCCTCCCCCCGTCCTGCCCCCTCCCCAGACCCTGTTCCTCAAGAGCAACAGCAGCAGGGAGAAGGTCTTCGGCAAGGCATTTGGCGGCAAGAAGAACAAGGGTCCCGTCGAGGTCTTCGAGCTGGATCTGGAGAGCCAGAGCAGCAGTCTCGGGAAGGACAAGAAGAAGAAGAAGAAGGACACCAAGGTGAAGGAGGGGCTGGACAAGCTGCCATTTGTGCTGCGGGTCCCGGCGAAACTGGCTCGGTGGGCGTTTAAGGCTTTGATATGGATATTCACGCAGATTTTCGGTTGTTTAAAGGCGATGTTTTGCTGCTGTTATGGCGTTGTTGGGTCCAAGTACTAAGGGGTTAATGAGAAAATGAAACGAGCCAGAGTAGAAACCGTCTGGCTCAAAGATTCCTCCAACATTTACTGAGTCCTGTAATCAAAACGTGAGGAAGTGTCAAAGTGATGAATGAAGGAATGAAGTCGTAAAGTTCGTATTAATTCAGCCAGCGTGGGTTGACGAGACTGGTATAGTTTTGTTTTGCTGGTATCAAAGGCTTTGGATCATCCCCATGCACACATTTACCTCTTTCGTGTGCGGAACTTGAGCTTTTTCCCTCTCCTAGTCTCACCCCCAGACGTGGCCGTCTTGGCCATCTTTGCCCGCTGTAGCTCAAGTTCCCTTTCGACATCCGTCAGAACTTTCAACTTGTGCTTGGCTGCCTCAAGCTGTCTCCGTACCCTTCGCAGCGATTTTTCTCTCTCGTCGTCTACCTCGTCCCCCTCCTCCTCATCGTCATCGAGTCCCTCGAATTCTTCTTCGTCGCCGTCTTCCTCCTCGAGTCTATCCTGCACCACCTCGTCTTGCTCCTCTTCCGTGTCCAAGAAGACAATTTTTCTCGCGGGCTTGGCCCTCATCGACTTGGGAGGCAGATCGAAGTCATCATCGTCCTCATCCTCGTCATCGTCATCCTCGTCCAGGCGATCCAGACCCTTCGTCAAGACAGCCTGCTCCTGCAGCTTCACCACCTCCTTCTGTGCAATCTGTCTCATCGTGCGCACGTAGCCGATATCCTGGGTCTTGAGCAGCCGCACGGCATCCACGCTCATGGACTTGTTCCCGCGGTCGCCCTGCACCGTCCCGCTCCACCTCTTGCCGTCCATGAGCTTCGAGCCGGGTCCCTTGCGGGACATCATCCCGAAGTAGAATTCATCCTCGTTGCGCTCGGCGGCCTTGGCGCGGAGGTTCTTGAGCTGCTTCTTCTTCTTGTTGTAGTCCTGTGCTCGCTTCGAGTAGTCCTATACAATTGCAAATTGCGAGTTAGCAAGGCGTTTTGCGTTCCCAGGATCATCGCGCGATGGCTGACCTTGTGCTTCTCCAGAAGACCGAGTCGTCGGCGCTCCAGCGGCTGGGCACGCTCCCTGTGGGGGTTCCGCTGGATGGCATTTCGCATTGAAGACATGCTGAAAGGCCTTGTTTATCGCAATCGCCAGGAGTGGCAGCACGTCTATTATAGGAGAGTTCGTTGTTGTGCAGGCAGAAAGAAGGTGGCTAAGATGGATTTTGTTGAAGGTTGGAGGCGGCAGAATCTGAAAATTTTGGCGGTCAGAAAATTGGCGGAGACCACTAAACTCCAAGGATTCGAGGTGGGGCAGCAACCGCTTCGCCAGGCAACTACACGAGACAGGATGCACATTTCCCAAGCTGAAACTAATGAACTTTATCTCTGATGGTTCGCCAGTTTCGGTATCGAACTTTGATCCAATCTATATGAATCATTGTATAAGGTACCTAAGAGAGATACAGCAACATCTTCGCCCTCCTTCCGGATGCATGGCCAGGAGAGCGAGCTAGATCTACTTGTGAGAGCATGCAGAACGCACGACACGCATGAATCAGCCGGCAAATGGAATATATGATACTCCGGGTAGCGTATCATTGTGCAATGGAACACAATTAGAGTTTGAAAGCTACGTCGGTCAGGCAAAGTAACCGTGAAAGTAGGCTTAGGCAGCAACGCCTCCTCCACTCACAACCCTCTTACAGCCGCTGCGGGAGAGCATAAAGAGGGAGCAAGACCCTTCTTTACCACCCCAGATATTCCCTCACTCACAGAAATTTCCCATTCGATTGAAGCGCTCTCAAAAATGCCTCCCTCACCATGTTTTACGAACCTCCCCATGGAGGTCCGCTTGCAAATCTACGAATTTTACTTTCATCTTCCAGGTGGTCTAATCTATTCCCACGACAGTCAAAAGCTCGTTGCAAAGGATCCAAATGAAAAGCTTGAGGTTTCCTTAATTTTCACGTGCCGTACTGCAGCTGCCGAGACTCAAGGTCTGCCTTTCAGGTTCAATACGGTGACCTTTACCACGGGCTGCCATGCAAAGAACTACAGCCATGCTAGGGAATATTCACAAACTCTCCGCCAACTATACAATCAGCGTTTTGAAGTCCTCAGCTACATGCGCCCAGCAATCTCAAAGGAAATCTATGACGAAACAACTTCGAGATTCCCGCTCTTCAAGCCAGTACTAGATGCCATCAAGGAACACCACCCGCAGGATAGGGAAGACAGCCAGAAATTCATACGCAAAGTCGCCCGATGGGGCGATGTGCCTTCTTCTACACGAGAAGCAGTAGCTCTCACATGCCAGTTAGCACTGCAATCAATGGAAAGGGAAACCATCGCTGCCGTGGCCAGATACCGGCTGGACCACCCGAATCTACCTTCCCACGATGACCCCTTGCGCATACTCACTCTTGATCACCTACCTTGGGATATACCCTCGAAACGGAAATTGCAGCGACTACGAGTTAGCTTATACAGGCCACCTCGAGACGGCTTCTCCTGGGCCCCAGGTGTTAGGAATGATCGTGGCGTATGGAGAAATTCTAAGCAACATACAAGGCCGTATCACTTCTCCGCGGCTACAGTAGCTATTCAGTTCCTCCGCCAGCTGTCTGCCAAGCAACGAATGCGTTTTCGAAATATCGTGCTACGCGAGGAGTCCAAGTCCGTCGCTTTCCCAGCATGTCACGCTCGCGGACTCATTCCTTTCTGCCAGGAGAACCCTCGCCTCCGCATTGAGAGGCGAGTTAGTTTATTCGGTAACGTTTTAGACGTCCCTGGAGGTCTCTCCACAGCTTACAGGTTCATATCCGATATGTCTAAAGCATTGGCGGTCTGGCTTGTTGAAGCAATGGACTTGGAGCCTGCCGGCATGCCATCCAATGCCTTCAGCTTTGTTCTAGACGATGATCAGGCGCCGGACAGGGCAATGATTGCCTTTGACAAAGTTTTCCACAGGTGCCTCACTTGGCAGCGCTACATGGAGGAATCTTACCAAAGGGGCGAAAAGAACGCTAGGCTCTTCTTCAGATTGATGAAGAATAGGCTGTATATTTTGGATGGATTTCCCCGAGCGATGGAGGAACTCTTCCGAAATAATGGCATCATCCGCTGCAACTTCAGCCCAGGTGAGCCAAGGCAAATAACCCCAAACGCGATCGAGACTAAGAACGAATACGCAACCATCGACATCGTTGACGAACTAGGATATGACCAACAGAGTGTCAGGCCTCAATATAGCCGAGCTAGAGGCGAAGTATTTGGGCATACTGAACTTCCCGGTCTTCTTTGATGAGGTATGTCTTGCTTTCTCTGGCTTCTTCCCTTCCTTCTTTCTGAACTAGGTTGTCTTCCTAATGTTTCCTTGTTACTTCAACCAAGCCGCTTAGTGGAGGTTCTTTTCATTCACTTGGGAGTCATGGTACGCTATAATTTTCATCCCCCTGGTAGTTGTTCCAATAGCAGGAGAGCAAGCCAGTGCATGCTTGTGCACCGATATGTGCCTTTAACGAACTCAGTTTTCATACGACTCAGAGTCGATCAAGGCAACTTAAGTACGACTCCATCATTTACAATTAACCCATTTTCATCATATCGATCTAAGTGTGTATTTATCATCTAAGTCGGATCGTATGCATAGATCCCAGAGTCTAGACAATGCCTAAATCGAGGTCATTACCCACGCGCCAATGTATCAAATAATGAACTTATCCTTCAACCTGACGTCCCGGCTGCTTGCTCCCACAAAAATGAGATATTCGCCCTCCTGGACGATCCACTCCTGGCTCACAACATCCCAAACGGCAAAGTCTCTCATGTCGAGCTCGAACGTCAGCTCTGCGTCCTCCCCTGGCTGTAGCCGCACCTTTTCAAAGCCGCGGAGCTGGCGTGGCGGCGAGTTCGGGATCGCAATGTACAGCTGAGCTACCTCCTCGCCCTCCCGGTCGCCGGAATTGGTGATGGAGGCAGTGACGGTCGCTGCGAGGTCCCAGCGGTTCTCTCCGTTGCATGGGGCGGAGGCGGCCAGGCCCTCGCGTTTGAGCTCCATGCTCGTATAGTTGAACGTAGTGTAGCTGAGTCCGAATCCGAACTCGAACCGTGGCGTGATGTGCTGTGCGTCAAAGGCGCGGTAGTCGAGGTAGGTGCCCTCGGAGAAGTCGCACTGGGGGTCTGTATCGCTGTCGGATGACTTCTCGCAAGGGTGCAGGACACTCCCGTAGTCCGTCTCGTTTTTGGCGAGGGTGTAGGGCAGCTTTCCTGAGAATCCAGCCTCTCCGTAGAGTAGCTGCACGAGGGCCGTGCCGCTGTCCTGTCCGGGGAGGTGGGCAATGACTGTAGCCGTGACGTTGGGATGCTCGATCCACTGGTCTACGAGGCGTATGCCGGCTGCGTGGATCACGACGACTGTGTTGGCGCACTTGCGGGCGATATTCTGGACGAGGCCGTCGCTGAAGTCATCATGCAGACCGTCGCGGTCCCAACCTTCGGTTGCTATGGCGTTGATGAAGACCAGGCAGACATCAGAGGCAGCGTTCACGCTCGGGTCGTGGGACTTGAGGTCCCAGTTCACCCAAGTATCGTCTGCTGCTGCTCGTTGTTGCAACGCATTGAGTGGCTGATAGTTCTTATTAGTATAAACCGTTTCTGTCGGGATCAAGGAGTTCAACCTACATCGATCATATAAGCCGGTGCGTTTGCACCAGCTCGTCCTCCGGTGACAATAGTCCCTCCTCGAGCTGCTTGATCAAAGTGTTGGGGCGTTCCCAGGTTCGCCTGTGCCATCTCCTCAGAAGACGTGTAGCCCAGCTCAAAGAGCTTGTCGGTATTCTTGGTCTGCGGGATCGTTGCATCATAGCCGAATACCGAGATCATCTTCAAGGGGCCTTTGAAGGGGAGTGTTTTGTTTTCGTTCTTGACAAGGACATGTCCAGCAATAGCACCCTCCAGAGTGATTGGCTTTGAGTGTGGATCGCGAGCATCGATCTGCTCATGAGGTTCAGTTAGGTTCTTCATGCCGATTCCAGGCTCGGGGAATTTTCCTCCGTCTTGGCCTGCGAGGTACCAGGCAGCAACGATTCTGTATCTTGTCAGTAAGGATTCAACTTTATACCAGTTACCTGGAGACGGTTTACCTAGTTGCCATATCGGTTACCCGATCCTCGGTTACAGTACCATTGTGAACGGCATCAGTCAGATTATTCCCAAAACTTCCTCCAAGAGGCATCACCATATCCAAGCCAGCGTTTGCGCTCGTGAGATGATGGACGGCGTTCCAGTCCAGAAGCACAAAGCCTTGGAACCCCAACTCGGTCTTCAAAATTCCATTGAGGGTCTTGCTGTTGTCACAACCATAGGTGCTGTTGATACGTTGATAGGAGCACATGACGGATGCTACGCCGGCATGAATGCCATCAACAAATGGCCAAAGATAGTACTCGTGGAGAGTTTTATCGTCGATGTTGGCAGAGACCGCCTCAACGCCAAAGTAAGGTCTTCTGTAGGTCTCTTGCTCGTTGCCGATAAAATGCTTCAATTTCTAAATTAGCAATGGGGTACTAAATGCCGATCATTTGATATCATACCTTGATGTTGGCGATGACACCAGCTTCCTGATGCCCAACAATGGACTCGGCATTGAGCTTTCCAGACAGGTAGGGGTCTACACTGAATCCCTCCCAGTTGCGACCACCCAGAGGGCTACGACCAAGAGGCCCAGCATTGGGGCCTAAGATGATATTGACTGTAGCTCTTTTGTTAGCATAACTTCAACCCGTACTTTGGGGTGGTGGTCGACGCACCGCCTTTTGCCTTGAACTCCTTCCCCATATACCAACCCCTCTGGTAGGTCAGGTTCTTGTCCCAGCTGGCTCCCACATGGATAGCCGACGGGAAAGAGCTGACAAAGTCGGTCGCCCTGACGCCGTTCCCGGCATCGTGGAGGCACATGCCTGGCCAGTCCAGCCGGGGGACGGTGCCGGTCGTACCAGCACAGACATTGTCCGCCTTGAAGCCTCGTGTAATATTAGCCTTCTCCTCCAGCGTCATCTGCCCTACGAGGCTGCGTGCGCTTGCATACGCATTTGTCCAGACGCCATCTCCCTTCCCGGGTGCTAAGTTTGCTTGGTTTAGCCGCTTTGTTTATTGGACCTTATCCATTGGTGAAAACTTACGGCTGGGGAAAACCTGCGGTGATTCATAGCTGCCTGCTGATGCCAGAGGCAACAGCAGGCTCAAAAGAGACAAAGCCGTTTGCGCAGAGGGAGGCCGCATGGTTGATGGATGAGGGTTCTGTTCTCCCAGGACCGGCGGTGTTGTTGATTCTCCAGTACTAAGTAATTTATTTACCTGGAGAAGGCGATCATCTCCCGCCTCATGGATAAATAATTATAACAGCCGGGATACGTCACCGCAATTCTTGAATTGCTAATTTTACCGGGGTCCATGCTCCTCGATTGGAATAGACAATCCGAGTCATGGATGTTCTACAACATTCAAGGCAACCTCCTTGTTGTGATTGCTGGCATTGATTCAGTGCTGGCAGCCGCACTAGGCCACACTAAGGACGCCTAATATTGGCGGTTTCAAGTCGAAACATTGTTTCGCGTCAACAACCTCAAAAATCCGTCTGTTCTACCTGCTGTACAGCAGAATGCCAAGCTCGTATTTGATGGTGCTACTGGTCGGGCGTAAGCCTGAAAGTTCAAGCGGGAGCCGACATCATAAAATAACATGACCGACTTCAGTGCCAATCATACGACAATTACCAATACATCAGATCAATTCTCGAAGAGTCCATTGGTAGCGTAGTATTACATTGCTCATGTCTATTTACTTTATACATTGATACTCGTACAGAATTCATTATACAGGACGCAAGAGCGTATAATTACACGAATCAGTGTATTTACCGGGTGAGAGAATGGGGTAGGCGGGCAAAGCATGCCACAGTCATCAAGCTCAGAAGACAAGAAGAAGCCGGCTACTTCTTGCTCCCAGCAATCACGAGTCCGTACGGCTCAAGTTGATCATTTGTGATCTTACCTGGAGCGCGTACAAATGGATCATCTCCCTTCATTGTCTTGGGGAAGGCGATCACATCCCTCACTGTAGGTGTATCGGTCAAGAGGGCCACCAAGCGGTCAAACCCAAGCGCGAAACCGGCATGGGGCGGGCAGCCCGCTCGTAGGGCCTCAAGCAGATGTGAGAAATCGTTGACCCTCTTGTCGGACATCTTGAGGATGTCGCGCATGATAAATTCTTGCACTTCTGCAATGTGAATACGCTCACTTCCACCACCAACCTCTGTGCCGTTTAATACAAGGTCGTATGCCGCGCTGCGGGCTTCCAAAGGATCAGTGAACAGAAGCTCCAAGTCCTTCTGGGACAGAGGAGATGTAAAGGGATGGTGACAGGCGGAAATCCCAGCACCGGCATCCTTGACTTTCCAAGGCTCATCTTCCTCGATAGGTTTGAACATTGGGAACTCGGTCACCCAGAGGAACTGCAGCGACCCTGGTTCGCCGAGTCGAGGCTTGCTCATGAGTCCTTCTTCAACAAGCGCTTTCCACATCGCCACTCGGAATTCTCCAATCTTGGTCGAGGAGAAACTATACTGGCCCTTTTGCTGCTGTCTGGCCTGGAAGACTACAAGATCTCCATCTTGAAGCTCTTTTCCTCCAGATACTTGGTCTAAAACACTCCCGTATTCGAAACCGATGGAGGAGAAGCCGCCCAGAGGCTTCATTGAGTCGTATACAAGGATTTGAGGGTGTCCGTCGGGGTTGTCCGTAAATGATGAGGGTAAATTTTGCATGAAATTGTTGACAAATCGGCGAGAAGCGTCAGGTGAGCTGTCATTCAAAGAGAACGAGAAACCCTCGACGAGGGGCTCAGGAAGGTGCGATATCATGCCGACAAAATCCCGGGCGGTGTCCGGAACAGTAATAGGATAAATCTTTCGGCTGTTAATACAAGGTAGGTGAAGAATTGTTCGACGCAACTCACTCGAGACGGTATTCTCAAATCAGGCTTGTCGATGCCGTACATGGCTATACAGTCTGCAAAAGTCAGGGTGGTAAACTGGTGAGCTGGGAGTTCATCTGCGCCCATGGGGCCATCAGGGATGGCAGACAGATCGGGAACTCTCTCTCCGCGGAGTGTTTGGTAGCTATGGGCGGGCCTCAATGCTGCCAACGCCTTTAATACAATATCTGTGATGTCTTTCTGAACGTTGGCGGCCCGCGCGAAAGCCCATTCCATATCGAGCTGCATGCGCATTAGAACAATTGTTAT